TATAGCCAATACATCCTTAATATCCATTCCGATTATAAGTGTTACAAAGCAAAAATTGTAATTATTATGCTTTACAGTTAGATACTATGCAATTTTATGCCAAAGAGAAATTGTTCGAAATAACGACGCCCTGGAACGAACCTTCAACTAAACATTAAAACGAATTTTATCTTGATTGTCTGAGAATAGATATAGAATCGACTAACATAAATCCATATTTTCCGCTATTTTCGCCTTTGAGGAAACAGAAGAATTTACCAACAAATATTAGAGAAATCACGTAACTACCCCCAGCCCTTAAAATTTATGAAGAACGTCTTACTATGCGATGTGTACGAATTGTAAAAAATTCGACTGACATTAGAAACTCGATGTTACTCGAATTGATCTTATTGGTAGATTTGCCGTGGTTGAAACGTAGCTGGAGAACCGGAGTCACGAAGTCTGTCAGACGGAGGATATACGATACTTCGGTGGACCGCATAACGAATCGCGATAACGCAACGTTCATTCGCGGAACGGGATCGGGTGAGATTTTTGCTCGAGCGGGAGTTGTCCGGGAAAATGTCAAGGCCTCCTTTCCATTCGTCGAGATGCTTTTTCTATCGCGCCGACATAAACATACATATGTCTAATCGTAAAAACTGTCCGCGAGTAAAAAATCGGACGTCTGAACGATAGCCGATCGTAAATCATTCGAATTTGTTGATGGTGTCGGCGGACTGGTACGAGTTGTGACACGAGCGTTTATCTAATTATGCAAACGGGTAACTGTTCGCGGTGCACAGTTGTTCGTACGAAGAAAGCGAGGAGTTTGCGACTTCTCTAACGACCGTGTCAACCATCCACGTGTCCAATTGTTATTTAGAACCGGGATGGAGATGAGCACGATTGTTAACTAACTACGAGGAAATCGTTTTACCTACGCAAATGCTCTTTAATTCTGCATAGTCCCGTTGAAAGGCCTGGCCAATAAATATCGCAGAGAAATATCTAATTCGATCAGCGAATAGTCTATTCAAACTTGAGTCTGTCCGGGATCTATCTGTAAATCTATCCCAGTTTAGAACGGAGAAATGTTAAATACCTGAAGAAGTCCTCCCTGCAGAAGAGCTTCCCCTCCCGGGAGAAACACTTGTCCTGTAACGTGGTTCTGCAATCGAAGCAGCGTACGCAGTCTACGTGCCACGCTCGGTCCAAAACGTTCAGCAGGAACTGATCCATAATCGGTTTGTCGCATCCTGCACATGACAGAAGCATCGCCAGACCACGTCTCCCAGCTTCGGAAAGAAAGAGAGCATCGTTGAATACAAACGGGCTCGCCGGAAGGGGAGTTCGTTCAAATGATTAAAAAACTGTGCGAGAATATCGAGAAAATCGTTTGAAAAAAAAAAAAAGAAAAGGGAGAGAGGAAATTTCTTCGTCGTGTTTATTTCAAATGATCCCAGCTTCGTTTCACGCAACGCTCGTTCACGAGAGATTCTTTTTAATTCGAGAAATACTCCGGTGCCCTGATTATAACCCCCTTTATACTCTTGATTACCGATGAGAAAGAAAACCGGCCGCACTTGCCGTGGATGCGCACGTGCATAACGAACCGCGCATTGTACAGACGGTTTTTGTGTTGCCAACGGTTCGATTACCGCGCGGCCGAACTATGCGGAACACAGCCGAGGCGTGAACGTAAAAATCCGAGCGGCTCGTTGCCAGCGTCAAAATAAAACCTATGATCCTCCGCTTATCAATTCTGTAATACCGTTTAACACGATTTTTTTTCTATTAAACGTTGGCTAATAATGCTTTTCGCAGTCGATCACGCGCGACAGTTTCATTCGAAGGAGCAGTGTAGTTTATTAGGACTATTAAATTTAATGATCCTGCCCGCATCTTTATGGTATCATAATTGTTTGTCAATAGCCACGAAACTCGATTCGTTATTAATTAACATTCGCGGACGAGATTGGCCTTCGCAATTACGTATTCTCCGTTTCCCAGCGTCCTCACCCTCGTCCATCCCGTTCTCTCTCGTGCCGACGGCGCGGCGCTCTTTGACTTATTTTTTCGCCATTGCCGAACCCTCCGGGGTTCGCTCCTCTCTTTTTTTTTTTCGCGGTTTGCGCCAATGGGCGGAGTTCCTCCCTGACGGCAGGGTTGTCAACCTAGCAACCCTTCTCCCACCCCTTAAGGTCTGACCTTGCGCATCTCATCTCACTCCGGTTTTGCGGGAGGGCGAGAAGAAAAAGGAGAAACGGACCGACCCGACCCCGGCTACCCCGCGGTTACCTCAAGATTTAAATCGTTCAACGCGAAGTCGACTTGCGAGTAATTCCTACAGCGAAATTGGGTTCCCACGGAAACATTCCCTCGTCCTATATACGCGCACCTCGGATCCCCGTCGAGTTTGCATTCCGTCTGATTCGCGTTTTTAACCGATGAGTTCCAACTCTAATTTCTGAGAATCTTTTAAACAATCGACCGATGTCGTTCGCTTAGAAAAGTATAAGAAATTAGATCGCATGTTTCTAATCGTTGCAAGTAACGTTGGAAAACTGTGTTCGAACGATTTGGAGAAGAGAATTGAAGTAAATCAAATTGTAGAGATCACTGTACGTTGATTTCAGAATTAGATCCCCTGATGTAGTTAACCTTCGATTCGGTAAATCAGATATCGAGGCGATTTCACGGCCGTGGCGCGCGAAAAGGAATCCGAGGAAAGATTTCCACGAGCCGTCGAAACCAGATTAGGATTAAGCGTACGTGAATGAAATCCTGAAACGTGGCTCGATCAACCAGATTGTTTTCCATCGTACCATTTCGTTCTGAGACACCTGGGGCTCGTTCCTGCGTGTATCTTAATTTCCCTTTAATTACCGTCGGCAAAAATTTCACGCTGATTTAAATTGCCATTCAGGAATTTCCGACTTTTCGGCTCTGTACTCTAATTAAAATTCGAACAGTTAATAACCGTCGATGAGGTAAAAAACAGTTGCGACTTATGTCGCCGGTGCAATTAGTAAGCGCAGCAATGAATGAGTAATCAATTTTATTGATCTCGCGATTAACATAAAGTGTCGCGTACGAATTTTCGATCGCCGTGTTACGCACGGCATCGATATTTCACGGCACCCCCGTTGGAATATGGTAATACGCTCGGAACCTCCTCGCAGTTTAAGTTTAAGCGTTATCCACGGTAAAGTCCGAGAAGAATAAGAACAAAGAGGTGGCCCGCATAATGAAATACCGGAAGGGTGAGCAGGGGGATAAAGTGGAATTTAATTCGCCGCGCCTCGGGAATTTTCAGGACACCGGACTGGACTAATTAACGGGCGAAGAAAAAGAAACTGTTACCGTGCGCTATCGAACGATTATCGGCAATTTTTCATTTTCACTCGATAGCCGCGTTGGTACCCATTAGACGCAATAAAATACATTGGTTGCTTTAGCACATTGTCATTAATATGCAAGAGTTTGCCGTCGGATAAAATTCAATATCTCGATTAGTCTTTTCGCGAAGCGAAATGGCACCCTCTTTTTTCTGAATAATTTAAGTACTACGCTGTTCCTTTGTTTGCTGGTACATGATCGTTCTTCCAGGTTACTCTGGCAACCTGTTAACGTTATCTTTCGCGCAATGGAAAATCTGTCGGGCACGTATAATCTAATTTACATTTGCATCCACGAAGATTACGGTTTCCCCGTTCGTTACACAGAATGACGCACATTTCGACGAGTGTTGAACCCTGTCTGGGGCAGATTTATCCTCGTTAGATCCGAACCGCGGGACAATCCATCACCGTGGATAAAAAACGCGCATTCCTATGACATCCAAATTACGGTACAATCAATCACGATAAGCGTACCGGCCGCGTTCTTCGTGGCCATCGGAAAAAAAAAAATAAAACGTATCGGGATGGAAGCGTTCCTTTCGGTTCGAATCACGAGGAAATCCTTTCCGTCTCTACGTTGTACGTGCGTGAGGTCAAACTAGCGCCGGCGCTTAGGAGGTGTTGAATCAACATTATCCATCCAATTCCCTTCGTGTTTGGAATCGAAATATTTCTCGACGGAAGAACGTTAATACGGATTACAGTTAAACAATTATGATCATTCCTCGACCGTCCAGAACTTTTTTACTGATATTATACAGAGGCAATAACGAGCAGAAACGAGACATGTTTGTGAATACTCTGTGGATCATCGATTTTGCATTTCCGATAGAAATTTCCTCGACACTTATACTTAAAAAAGGGTTGAATTAGAAAAACTGTTCTGGTGTTCTTACCTATGTTACAGGCTTGGGTGACGGGCAGGGGTGCGCAACAAGGCCCGCTGAGGGTCGCGACCCTTATCCGGGGGGTACCAACCCCCCCGGGGCCCGCACCCCCGCCCCCGGCGCCCCCGTAGCCCTCCACCTCCCCAGCCGCGACCGCGGCCACCCCTGTCCCCACTACCTTCCCGGGCCCGGGACCACCACCAGGCCCACCTTCCACGGGCCCGTATCGGCCGAACGGTCCCGAGGGCCCCAGTGCACCCACTTTTACTGCGGTATTATCCCAATGGCCGTTAAATCGCACTTCTCACACTACCCCCCTGGGCTGTCGATTTTCTCCGCCGGCACACACTCGATACTTTGATCAGATATTCCCTGTTTACCCCCTGACGTATACTTGGCTCTCTCTGGTTTTTGTTGTCACTTTAACTTGAAGGAACGTCTCAAAGTCTCATGTCTCGTAATAACGCGTGGTAACCCAGCCGCTTTCGTCGACGTGCTCCGTAAGTATCACGTGGCTATCTCGTCGAATGGTTTCGGCACCGTTCGTCCACCCCGTCGCGACGACTCAGCTGACCAGCCGGTACCGCCGGCACATCGCGGTCCTCCGTTACGTTGAAGATCGTCCTTCGCCGGATTCAGACACTCCGCAGCGGGCCATGCCGCCGGTGGGACCGGTATCGCGGATGGTCCGTCATCGCGCGACGGCTCGCGAGTCCCCGCACGTCTTCCAAACTCCGCGCTACTCTGGCTTCTGATTACGGCCGTTCGATCAAGGATCTCCCACGTACGTCCGCACTCGCTGTTCTTCGGTTCCTCGCACGTGGGTCCCTCGCGGGTATCATGCGACCTGCGACGAGTTTGGTGAACGCGAAACTGATCGGACGGGGACCGGTGATCCTCGAGCACGCTCGCCTCGAGTTCGCCAGCCAACTGGCTGCACCTGTGACAGGCCGCAAGGGGCCCCCCCTCTACTCGTGACGAGACGTCGCGCGCCGCGACGCCACGGGCTACGCCCATTGGCCACGACCACGGCGCGGGACCTTCCGCGCGTCCGCACCATTGGTAGAACAGGCCCCGCTCGGGCGTAACCAACCCCATGCGCCGGCAGACATGGCCGTGGAATGGCTGCGGATTCTCTGCCGGACGGACGGGACGCTTCTGTCGTTGCTACTGCTTCTGCCGCCGTGTGTTGTTGCTCGAAATAGCCTGCCGCCCGCCTGATTCTCTCCCCAACACCGCTATCGATCCCCCTTCGGCGTATACCGAACGTAAGAGTGTGCCTCGCGAAATGCCACAGGTTTCAGAGAATCTTTACCTCTCGCGAAACACTCTTCCCTCATCCTCCCTCCCGCGTACCTCTCCTCTCTCTCCGTTCGTCGAGTCCTCCTCGGCGCAGCATCTTTCGTCTCCCTTTTTATCCGTCAGCGTTTCCTTCCCGCGGACGTTCCTCGGACATCTTTCTCGTTCGCTCCGTTATTCACGCGATAGTACATACATACACCTCCGGGTGCCTGTTGTACGTGTCCATACGCGCCCTGTGCCACTCGGCCGAGGTATAACCTTATCGCGAGGCTCGTTTTGTGACGGAGGCGTGTACCGAGGCGACGCATTGCTTTCTATCGATTAAGGACCTCTTCCCGGTATTGTTCCACGGTTTTAAGGACTGATACCCATGAATGTCTCCTCCAGTAAGTTGCCAAGTAATTTCCACACCAGTCCGGCGCTAAACAATTCTTATTATTCGTGTCCGATTAGATTTCGCGGTTCAGGCAAAGTCCTTTAACGTGTTATTATAATTATTGTATTAGTTTCATCGTGAATCTTTTTTTTATAATTCACGGGACACTCGTAAGGGACACGGGAGTCACAAAAAATTTAATGGTTGTCCGCGTGCCGTCATAATTAGCCATAAACAAGTGGCCTCTATAAATTACATCACGGTGGACTGGTTAAGCTTATTACGAGGGTCGGCCGTAGACTACTGAAAAGCTGTCGAGATTATTATAGGGTACCGTGAAAAATCGACCACCCCGTGGATGTGTCAATTCGTGACTCGAGCGTAACTACAGTTCGTCCTCGCTTTGTTCTGCACAGCAATTATCTACCTGTTAAGGTTCTATCAGATCTCACGTAAAAACAATGACGAAGCGTTGAATTGTTAACGGTTAATAGATATTAGATTAATAAAATACTCA